CGAAACCCGAGTTTCGCCTACTTTATCATCCGAATTAATTCTTCTATTAACCTTTATTAATTGTCTTCTAACGTCTCTACTGATGCATAATTAAATTCTTGCTATTTTTTAATTATTATTTTAGATTACAGTATTCTGTTAATCTAATTATTAATATAGTTACTTATGTAATTATGTTCTTTTGAATAATTTATGCAAACGCAAAATGCGGCAGAAAGTTTCGCATACTGAAATGTAAAACGTATGCAACAGCATTTTAAAACTCTTTATTGTCAAATCTCGTTTGAGAAAGCATGATTTGCATTAAGTACACATAACAATGTTTTTAATTCTATAAATGGCGATAAGATAGTATATTGTCAATTGTAAAAGAAAATTGTAAAAACTCTCGATTGTAATTGGCCGGTTTGCTTATTGTTTAAGTTTTATTTGTTTATATCACGCGATGTGTTTTTGACTATAGATTAAAACCAAAGTATTTCTCTGTTATGTCAATTGATATTTTACTTGTTAATTAATTATCACAGATGGAATTGCACGTACAATCTTCTTTATCAGACTTAGGCGATTTGCTTTCTCGATTTTCAGCGAAACGCATGTCGTCTCCGATCATTTCGACAGGTTAAATCGATAACGCAATTATAAACATAATATCGCTATATAATAGAACGACGCGGGGAGGGCACTATTGTTCCGTTAGAATACTGTTATCGAGTGTGTGCTCCAGGAAATCTTTTTCTAAAACTTGAACGTTCGAATTATTACGTAAAATAATGGTAGCTAAAATGCAGCGCAACGTTCCGTAGGATGGTCAGTCTATATTCATAATTCGTATTAATTTTTAAATATTATCATTAGCTAAAAAAGAAATATTGTGTGTCTGTTCTAGCGGTTGTACTAACAGATAAATTCTATGTTGGAAATAATAAATTAGATATTTTGGTTATAAGGCATTTAGAACGAGATAATAATGTCAAACAGTACTATATATGCTTTATTATAAATTCAAGAATATAAGTTTCAGATAACTAATAATTGGTAATACTAAAAACATTAATGAAAAACATTAATATCAATATTAATATTAGTACCATTATTAAAAATATCAATAATAAATTTAATATATTAAAATTATTATTTATACTTACATATGTATATTAATAAATTATTATTAATAAAAAATTAATAATAAATATTAATATGCAAAATATTAATGAACATAAATAATTCTTTTAATAGATTAATAAATATTAATATTAAAAGTAAATATAAACTAAAAATAAACAGAAGTAATTAGTAGCAGAAAAATCTGTAATTAAAAATAAAAGTACGAATAATATAATATAATAAGTTATTCATAATGTAATAATATAATAAGTTATTCACAATATATATAAATATAATAAGATAATAAGTTATTCATAATATAAATATTATATGTATTAGTGCACGCGCATTATTATTGGTGATCACTTAATGATTCCCAAATCTGAATATACTCCATCTGATCGTCTATTTGAGACTGGCGTAGACTTATTTTTTGTAGAACATTCGAAATTAGATGAATTGAAAGTAGCTGATGTGTCACATGTTTTTTTGCAAAATCCCTTATCTAAAACAGATTGTTTCAGCATAAATCGATAATGAGAATTCTTTTTCATGTTACAAGAGTTTAATGCAATATTTTTCATCTTTAACATAAATCAGATAAAAGATATTATGCATGTAATGTATGTAGCTATTCAGAAAAAAAGTTTTTTATATATCATTATGTATGAAATATGCCCATATATTTTTCATATGTTTTCTTTCTCTTGTGTAATTTCTATATATAAGAATCATAATGTCATATAAAAAAAATAATAAGAAGAATAATTAAAAAATAACTAGAAAAATAACTTTTGCATTGTATTTTTTACAAAAAGTAAAATTGCGATTAGATTATACAATATTCAAATGTATAATCATATTTTATATACGATTATTACATTTATATAATTATATATAGACAACTTTTCTCATTTCCTCAAACTTCGTTTTTGTAAAAAAACAATACGAAATTATCCTATTAATTATTTTTTAGTTCCTCTTATTATTTTTCTTGTACATACAAAGATTATACAAGAGAAGAAAATATATACAGACATATTTTTTTATACATGAAATATTTTTTTTCGTGTATAGAGATTAAAAAATTTAATAATAAGAGATTAATAAGAATATAATATTTGAATATGTGTAAACATGATATTTAAATTCACAAAGATTACCTTCATAAGTTGTTCTTTAGAATACACATGATTAATAATATCAATTAATGCTGCAACCATGTCGTTTTTTCTATAAATAAAAATAAAACTGCAGATTATTATACATATAAAAAAACGTATGTACATATAAAAAAATACATATATATATGTATATATATCTAAAGAAACATATCATTACCGAGGTTTTAATTCATCAAAATTCGATAACATGTAGTCAAGCACTTCGTCATTCCTGGATTGTCTCGCAACAATGGAATGAAAGCTCGTAACAATAGTATATTCATCGTCTTGTTTACTAGCTATTAATTGCAAATGTTTTATGACGAAATCAGCTTTATTATCCCCAGAGCAACCCAACAAACTAGTAGGTGTCCGTGAATTTGTAAGTGTGTACCGCTCAATATCAAACAAACCGTAACAAAATGTCCATTCCTTCCACCACGGCAAAGGACTATAAAAACAAAAAAGAAATAAAAATTTATCTTGCTGTGTGTCTTATAGTCTTACTAACAAAACTTATTAAATATTGTGCAAAATATAACAAAAATATGAGATAAAAAGGCTATAATTATAAGAAAATTCACCTATTTTTTTTAGGGTCGTTGAGGTATTCGTAGTGCTTATCTTGAGCCGCTCCTATACAGTCAGGATGACGAATTATACATGCCCATTTTGCAGCCTCTTGCATTAAACGTTTAGTAAAATCTTCTTCATCGTTTTTAGATTTTTCGTCGTATCCTGTATTCTTAAGAACCCCATCCAACATTGGGTACATTTTCATCTAAAAATTATTAAATAATAAATTATTTAAAAAAGCATGATATATACATGCAATGTGAAAACACATAGTTACATAAAAAAAGGATGCAATTGCATATTATATGTAGATATACATATACATGTGTGTGTATATATATACAATATATATATATATATATATAAATAAAAATAAAAATATACCTAATTTATGTAAAATTAATTTTTTAAGTATAAAATTGCTATGCTCGGTTTATGTGTAAAATTCTTATAGATTAGATACATATTTTACAATTGATTACTAAAAAATTATGTATTATAAGTATAATATGATTTTTCTTAAAATAAAGTAATAAAATAAGTAAAAATAAGTGTGTAAAGTAATATGATCCTTTACAAAATTATGTCTTGCTTCTTGCAAAGTTTTTGTAAATTTATAATAATATATATTTAGTAACAACAAAAATTGATTTTATTATATTAATATAAAGTCAATATATTAAATGTAACAAATTCTAATATATTTTCAATTTTTTCTATTAAAGAAATATATTATTATTTACCTTGATTTTTTCAACTCTTTCGTTTGAAAATGGAAGAATAGTCGACATGTGTTCAAAAACTTTGAACATAGGATACCATGCTATAAAATCTGTCTCCTGTGATAAATAACTCGTAAGGTCCCAGAATACAGAGGAATTGAGTTTGCCTGCTACCATAAAGTAAAATGCATCATCGATGATTTTTGCACGATTGAGAACATGCATTTTCATGTAATTTGGAGTTTTCAGATATGCTGCAATCCCTAACCAGTTCTTGTCGTTGTAATTGACGCGATAGTATCCTGTCGTATATAATAAATAAATTTTAAAACAAGGCACATATATATTACTGTTTACTTGCGGCAAATAAATTTAGCTAATTATTGATATCTCTTCGTTGGGTTTATCAAGAAATATTTTCGAATCTTTATACTTTTTTTTTAAATTAAAGAACATATGTAAGAAATTACACATACATTAAGAAGAAAGCTGCAAATTAGATTATTAAATATATAAGACTATTTTTTAATAATAAAGTGAAATATATAAAATAAAGTCAAGCAAGATATTTTATATAAACTTACATTAATTTAGTTATAAAAAATAAATAAATAATAATTACATTACATGTAAGATTTTTTTTTTTCAATTCAATGACAATAGAGAGTAGAAGTTTTTTTTGCATTATTTGATATTATCATAAACAAACATTATCATGTGTTTAAATTGTTTAAAATATCACACATATATAATGTGTAATATTTTATATTATATAAATAGCAAATATAAAAATTTAATAAGATGTACAAAGTAAAATCTCCATTATAGAATAAATGTTGTTACATATAACATAGGATAAGGATAATTATTGTTTATCGATATAATATTTACCAGATTGTTGTAAATTGACAATTATCCAATTATCCACTTCAGGGTTAGTATCAAATCTTTGAAATTTGCATTCTAGCCACAACGTGCCATTAATTGACGTATTGTCAAAATTGGAAACCGACTGTGTAGTATAGGTCAGAGGTATCCAGCTGTCATCCGTTTCATTGAAATACACCGATACTTTTACCCATCCATTAGCATGTAGTGTTGCAATTATTACAGGATAATTCTTTTGTTGTGTCCAATCATTCATTAATTTCTTTAGATCAGGCTTATATTTCATATCCGTTTCGCTCAAGGCAATTTGCATAGCGTCCCACAAATTGTCGGAAGTTGCCGAATTAAACTCACTAAGTTTATAAAATTTAAAGTTATTAAAATAATTAAACACAAATATAATAATGAAAGAAAAAAAAATTTTTAGTCTTTGAAGAGACTGCAAAGATCTTTGATAAGCGGAAAGAAAGAGAAAGAAAAAGAAATGAGTGATTAGAGAGTGCAGATATAACGCTTGGAGGAAAAACTTGAAAAACAAAGCGGAGAAATGGAGAAACTGAGAAAGGGGATCAAATAAGAAGAAGGAAAAAATAGAAAAAAAAAACAGAACAGGGATGTTAGAGATTGGGGAAGAAGATTAGGGTGGAGAAGAACGGAACATAAAACAAGAAAATCATTATGGATAAGCTTAGAAATATTAGTAATAAGAAAAAAATAATAAGAGAAAAAGTTAAAAAGAGAAGATAAAAAACAAAAAGACAAACTTGAAGATAGACAAACAGAGAATATAATAAAAGAAATGTTTAGTCAGAAAGATTAAAAGATAAAATAAAAACAGAGGAAATAGAAAAGAACTTAGTAGAAAAAAAAAAAAGAAATAAGCAATAATATAATAATAGTCTGAATATACAAAGAATCTGTCAGCAATAAGAAAGAGAAAGTTTCTGTTTAAAAAATTGAAAATAAAAACTGTGTGTGAAATAATAAAAACAGAATCAGTCTGCTAAGAAAAGAAAAAAAAGAGTATGATAGCGAAATAAGAATATTGCAAGATAAATCGAAATATAAGAAGTAAAAGGAAAAAACATTTTATGGGACTTTCAGTTATGCTCATTATATTTAATTCTATGTTGTACAGAATTATTATGTTACAATTTTTACTTACTGCTTGTCTAAATATATTTGGACACCCTTCCAAAATACGTCACGCGATAGTAAATGTTGCAACATGAGCAGTAAACAGGATGCTACAAATTGTATTGCACCAGTAGTACATTAAATATATATTTAAAATAAGTTTATTATATAACATATCCATAAATTCGTGAACTTAGCTCATTTTATAAGAAAGGACTGATGACAGAGAACGAAACGTAGGCTCTTAATTACGTCTATCGTAGGCATAGACGTAAAGCAAGGCAGAGAAAACCGTACACGTAACTATGACTACGATAGATGTAAGCTTACGTTTCGTTCTCTGCCATCAGCCAAAAAAATTAATTTCAAGTTTGAATTGAACGCTTTTCAATCAGAAACAAAATTCTATCAAAACAAAGTTAATATATTGGTAAACTGCAGATAATATTTATCATAATTCATACTCTTTTATTTTTTAATAATATAAGCATTTATGAACGATTGTTTAATTATTCGTAGTCTTACCTTTAAAATGATGAGGCAAATACAAGAGTGAATTAATTTCAGAAGGGCTATCGACTTGGTTTCGAGCTTCAGCAAAGTAAGAATTTAATTTGAAAGATTCGTACTGATTTTGAACTATAAATAAATCCATTATTTTGAGCTGTACGACAATCTAAAGATAAGAAAATTTGATATAATTCATAATATTCGGAAAAAATGCTTAACGTTATATGCACTAACATGTACAAGTCGGTACTTGGTATAGCAAAAGTTTCAAAAATTTTATTTATGGCTTTGTTATTTAGCTTAATCCTTTGTTGCACAGTTAACTACATATGAAACACCTGTCTTTTCTGCAGTTCTTTCGTGTTTTTACACATTCCATAATCAAACCAATTAGTTTGTGTAATACATTTGGTATCTTTATGTTCTTGAAACATATACTCTCAATTATATAAAAAACCCATCTCAAGTATAAAATGTTAGTTATATAAACCATAGTTAATTCTTTAAAAATTAATGGCCATATTGAATCTGTTATCTTGACTTTTTAAATTTCACATTAACGATCCCAAAAACATCCACCTACTAAAATTCAGCAAAATATATTTTTAAAAAAGATTGCGCAACAAAGGGTTAAACATAATAAACTATATCTAACATAATGTGTACAATAAAACTGTACATTAAAATTAAAGTCATTAAAATTAATGAGAAAAAAATCTTTGTACATTCTTTTCTGTATACTATTGTTATTTAAACGTATTTTTACCAATCTCTTTTTGATACTTCAGCTTTAATAAAAATTTGAAAAAATAAAAGAAATCAGCATTTTGATCTTAATAAAAAAAAATTCGCAAAAGAATTTGTTTGAATTGAATCATTACAATATTAACCGGTATTTTTCGTAGATGCGTATATAAGCACGACAGATAAAACTAATTAACCAAAACTAAAATTATAAAATAACCTCATCGATGGCCTCCATTCCGATTAACAAGCTAAGACCCTGGTTTATCCACAGGTGAGACCACCAAGATGGATTGACTATAGTACTAAACAATTGATATGCTATATTATATCCTATTAAATGCACCACTTCCATAATGCGTGCAACAGAATCGTTCCTGAGTACACAGAGAATATCCTCCCTAAACATCGCAACATGATTCATCTTAGTATTTTGAAGTCCTTTCATAAGCGTTCACAGGATTTATTTATATTACAGTATAT